ATTTGTCAAACCTTTCAAAATAAGCCTCTGTTTCGGCGATGAGCTGGTGGTGAATTTCTTTCCTCTGAACCATTTCTTCAGGTTTGGAAACAGGAAATAGTCGCAGGGGGCTAAATTTGGCGAATATGCTGGATGGGGAAGTAATTTGTAGTGGAATTTGTTGAATATGTGGCCATTGGTGCCGGACACGTGTGAACCCGTGCATTGTCTTGATGGAAGAGCACTTTCTTCTTCGCCAGATGGAGACGTTTTTTCTTTAAAATGTTGTTGAAACGATCCAATAAGGCTGCGTAGTAATCACCATTGATCGTTTGCTTCAACAGAAGGTAATCGATACCGCGTGCATCCCAAAAAACTATGGCCATCACCTTTCCGGCCGACTTCACGATGTTCGCCTTCTTCGGAACTGGTTCACCCGGTGAAGTCTATTGTTTTGACTGTTCCTTCGTCTCGGATGTGAAGTAATGGATCCATGTTTCATCCACAGTAATGATTCGACGCAGAAATTCATCTGGATTACATTGAAGTATCTCCAAACATTGTTTTGAAATCGTCACACAGTCGCGCTTATGGTCCATAGTGCAAAATTGAAATTACTGTGCCATGTGACATGCCTGTGGCCTTAACAAGCTCGCGCATTTTCACTCGTCGATCAGTCAAAACAATATCGTGGGCTTTATCGATAATTTTGGGCGTAGCAGCCTCAATTGAACGTCCCGAGCGAGGTGCATCGCATGTGGATGTACGACCATGTTTAAATTAATTCACCTAATTGTATACAATCGCAAACGCTGGTGCAGATGTGCTATGAACATTATCCAACTCGGCTTTGATTTCTTTCGGCGTTAAACTTTTCATATGTAGATGTTTAATCACTGCACGAAACTCATTTTTTTCCATTTTTGCAAAAAATACAAAGGTAAGGTTCGCTTTAATCGTCTATAGAAATGAAACCACGCGATGAATTCCGCTCAAAATTTGATAGCTAATTTAATCAGCTAAAAGATGATATTTGTTGATCATTACTTGTTGATTACTCAAAAAGTAATGTGACATGACACTGTGAGTGCTTTCTGACAGATTTTGTAAGAACTTATTGACTTGCCCTCGTAGAATTGATATAAGAACTATTCGTTCTCCGGCCGTACGAGCCTGATCCTGAGCCTGAAGATTGGAATTGTAAGTTTAATAAAATCTTATTTATAAAAATTTAAAGAATACATATGTTACGTCCAGCAGACTGCCACGCTCTTTTCTTTCGTAAAGATCTGAAATTCGTTGAAATACTAAAATTTTTTTCTTTTCTTTTTTTTTTTACGCTAAAAACTAAAACGAGGAATCCAGTGTCTCCTCGTGAATGTCGCTCCGAGAAAGACTAAATTAATAATAAATATGTATTGAAAGCGTAAGACCGGCGCCAAGATTAACGGTCAAGTCGCGGACGATTCTCGCGAATCGGTGATCACAAAATCCAAGAAGAGGCACGCGACGTTCAGGGATAGATTCTGGGTGGTCTCGTGGCGACGATGCATGCGCGCCTTCTTGACGCACGGCATGTGCGTTTTCCCATAAATTTTAAAATCGTAAAATTTTGGAGGACACTTTTCCACACTACGGACTGCTGTCAACATTCTTTTCTCCCCCAAGATCTTGACCAATCCAAGAGCAAAGGAAAATCCTACTACTAGTTAACGAAACCTATTCTATCAATCCGAATCTGAGTAATCGGTGGCGATTAGGATAAAAATCGCGGTTCCGCGGACCTCGGTGTGATTTTTCTTTGAGTTTTGAGAGGCTGAGTTTGAGAGTTGTCGCGACCTTTGAGATAAGCTTCATCCGACTCTCGAAGCCCTTCTCTTCAATAGAATCAGTGCATCAATTTCAAGAGATCAATGGCATTCCTTAATCGGGGAAGACTGACGAACCTGAGGCACAGCAACCTACGGTCGACGGCACCTTTTCCGACGGTTTCTTGGGCACCTTAACATATATTTATATCTCATCATATTGCCATCTCCGAGCAATAAGTTTTTTATTTTACTACATGGGGTCACTCCTCTTTTCGTACGATCCCCCTTTTTAAAAGACGAAATTTTTAGCCTTCACGCAGTTCTTCCGCCCCTCGTCGCCGTCACCTAGCGAGGACTAATAGATCGCACCGACGCTCTGCTCGTGTCCGCTATAACGTCGCAATAACTTCGCGAAAGCAAATTTTGTCAATCCAGCCGTCGGTCCGAGAACAGATTCCGGGCGTGCAGTCTCCAATTGTAACTCGATCGCCACCGCTTGAAATATCCTACTCCCTTGTCTCCGAATTGTCTCTAGATTTCTTTGCTGGTCTTGTCCTGTCCAGTCCTCTCCCTGTTCCACATCCGGTATCACCACCCCTGATTACTCAATTTCCCGCATACTCTCAATGCCTAATGCTCAAACCGATGCTTACTCTCCCCCCGATCACCTTCCTCTCCTCTTTCATAACGCTCATCAGCTATTAGAATATATGTTCTTCTTTACCCCCTCCTATGATGATCGAGTAATAGTGAGCATTGCGGAATCCGACGGTCTATTTTCAGTCCCCATATCATCCCTTATTCCCCTTAATCCTTTTTCCTTCCAACTATATAATCCTACGCAATTTTAATTCTTCTCTCCTCTTTTCAAATTTTCCACATTCGAAATAACATCCTCATTGCGACTCTCGTTTTACACACACACACACACACACACACACACACACACACACACA